AGATTAGAATTGGGAGACCACCTGCCTCAGAATTTTGAGTTTTCACATACCAGATCTGATTTTTCCTTGGTGCTCATTTATAATCTTTCCTCAAAACAAAGAGAGAACACTGTAGTCTTCTCTGCAACTGGTCTGATTTCCACACCATCAAGGGGCAATGTGTGCCTTTGTTGAGCAAATTAATGGGATTAAAACAGCTATCAAGCATGCTGCAGCAGAAGGAATTCCTCTTGCCCAGCTGCACATTGTTATCACTACTGTGAATCCTCATACTCATAATAGAAAATGAATATCATTTCATATTTTAACACTCTAGACAGAAGCCATTAGCAATTTATTTTTCCCAAAGAACCAGCTAATTAAAATTGTAAATAAGATTGTGTTATGTTTGCATGTATTCCTGTGAGTCTCATGAAGAACCAGAACATAGATGGCTATATGACTGTTCTGTGAATATTACCACCCAACTTCACTTCCATCTGCCCACACTCCAATCAGAGAAGAAGACCACACTCAGGGGAAGGAAAATTTATGTGAAAGGCTTCCACAACAGAAGGCAGAATTTAAAAAGAGGAAGGCCTCAAAGAGTTCAGGAAAGGTGGTTTTCTGAGGCACTGTAAGAAGCAACAGAATATTTTCCTACTGCGTTTAGGTAGGTGGGTTGTTATTGTTGTTATTATTATTAATTGAAGATCAAAAGAACAGGATTTCCCAGTGGGAAATTCAAAAACACATGTTATGACAAAAAAAATCTAAAGATCAACCAATTTTAACTTTTTTTCATTTTATTTATGTACTACATTTAGTAAGGTATCACTCCCACACTCTTGGTATGTTAATAATTGATGGCCTCTCCAGGTACCAATTCATAGAGAAAATTTAGCAAATTTCTGATTTTTCTTCTGTGATTTAATGATATGCAATTATTTCTTTGTATTACAGACTAAATTGTATAACCACAAAATTTATATGTTGAAGCCCTAACCCCTAAGTACCACAAAAGGTGACTGCATGTGGAGATAGGGTATTTAAAGTGGTAATTAAGTTAAAATGAGCCCATTAGGGTGGGATCTAATCCAATCTGAGTAGTATCTTTATATAAAAAGGGGAAATTAAGACATACAGAGAGATACGAGGGGTGTGTGCTCGCAAGAAAAGGCCATGTGACAGCACAATGAGAAGATAGCCATTTGCAAGCCAAGAAGAGAGGCCTCAAGAGAAACTAAACCTGCCATCACCTTGATCTTGAGTTTTTAGATTCCAGAACTGTGAGTAAACAAATTCCTGTGGTTCAAACCACCCAGTCTGTGACACTGTTACGGCGGCCCTAGCAAATTAATACTCTCAGTAATGGTCACCTTTGCAGGAGTTGGGTCTTTAACTAATGTATAAACACCTGACATGTGAAAATAAAACCGAACAGGTAAGTTATTAGTTGATCATTTTCACTGACAAATGATATACCTAGGACTTCTTTAAATTGTAAGTTCTTTGGTACTTTATAGAGTCACTTCAATTCACAGGCCATTAATTACTATCAATGAATGAACAATCAACATTAAGTCAATGCAGATTGTTGACTGAAAAATGTACATGACCACCCCCCATCTAAATTGGGCCCTTTTCTTAAACTCTGTCATAACATTCCTTACTCTTCCAACATAGGACTTATCAGTTTGTAATCATGTATTTATTTGTGAGATTATATCCTTCACATCTATCTCCCCAATGGACTCTCCATGAGACATAATCATCTCTGTCTTGTTCACCACTGTATGCTCAGTATTCAACACGATGTCTGATCCTTTATTTGTTGAATGAGTGAATAAAGAAGTGATAAGGTTCTTAGGACCTTAAGTTGGGGAGGTTGACTGACGTGTTTTAAGATTTCTCTGAATCTCTGGAAACTGCCTAAAAAATGTGTTTATGCATATATGTCTCTCAAGAGAGGATTCATAACCTTCATTTGATTTCAAAGGGATCTGTGAACTCCCTGAAACATAAGGAACGGTTGGCCTATTTCCCTGTGGTAAAACAAGATTCAATACCAAAAGACTTACCTGTAGCCTAAAACAAAGAATGCTATATTTACATTTACGTGAATGGATGTGTGGGCATATGTATATGCATGTGTATAGTTTCTAAGAACAGAAATGCTGCAGTGAATTTACAGAACAATCTGCATTCCCACTTCCTCTGAGTAACTGATCATTCCTGTAGTCATTGAGCTTGAGTAATAGCCACTTGCATACATCTGTTTCTTGGCAGCTCAGGCCAGAGAACAGGAATCTGTAACTCCCTCCTTTCACCTGCTTGGGATGCTGACATCCCTTTTTGCAGGAATTTTCTTTTAATAACAAACCTTAAACCTCCCATGTAATAAAGGCACCAGGCCATGTTTATCAAGCACAGGAGCCCAGGAAAGTTGATCCAACAACACTGGGATTTCCCTTCCCTCACCCTGAAGCCACAAGGAGATCCAGCCTAATCAGGCCAAGGGGGCCTCTGAGTGCTGTGTGCATTCACAGTGAGGGAGGCTACAAGATGGGCTGGGAAACACTCATTGGCTGTTGTATAACATCTCTTCTCTTCTCTTTCCCAGTTCCAGAAGTTACTTCCCTTCAGTAAATTTTCTCCCTTATTTTTGTCCTAAAAAATGGAGACTTCAACAGTAATCTGTCAGAAGAAAGGTTTTTGATGTGCTGTTAACTCTGTTATCCATACTATCAGAGAAGAGCAGTTGTACAGATAATTCAAAACCAAAGGCTCTTTTAACTTTGCAGTCGCTGTTTCTAGGGGCTGGTGGTGATCTTACCTCCCTAATTATGGATGTCTTTGTTTCCCTAATTATGGATGTCTTTGTTTCTTATTAAAATGAGTTTGTCTGCCTTAGGGCCAGGTGGTTGGGTGATGTGAAAATTCTGTCACAGAATTTGTAAAACTCACCAGGGAAAGTCCATAGGGCACACAAATAATCAAACTTGACTAGATTTGAGTTCACGTTCTTAATCACCTATGATCCACTGCTTTGCTACTCTACACTAAAGTGAGACAGAGATAAGAAATATCCACAGGAGACTAATGGGAAGAGAATGAGTCTTTACTTTTAGATGAAGACACAAGACTGTTGTGGCCAAGATTGATAACACAATCAGTGTTAATGATTTCCCTCCCTAGTCTCACAACCTTCATCTCTGCAGCCAGAGTGATCTTTCTATGCAAGTCTCACAATGTTCACCTCTACCTAACATCCTTCAGTGTGGTAGTCATTAGAGCTGTTCACAACCATCCTGCTCCCTCCTTCCCAGCATGTGATAGAACTGCACGATGTCCCGAGCCACTTCAAATTAGACGTAGTTCTGTGATTTGTGTTGGCCAATAGAATGAGAGCAAATGTGTCACTTCTAGTTGGAAGTTTTCAGAGCCAGTGTGTGTCCTTGGGTACATGCTTTGTCTGGCAAGGCTTGCAGCATCTGAGCTGGCAAATCTGAGCTGGTGGTTACACCATCAGCCCAGGTCTCCCTGGGTGGCTATGATAAGCAGAGCTCCTACAAGCTAGGGATGGGTGTGTGGTAGGAGTGATAAATAAACCTTGGTCGTTTTCAACCACTGAGATTTTAAGGTTCTTAGTTAACTCAGCATATCTATTACTGCACATATCAAGCTGCACCATGATTGTCTGAAGTTTTCCTTCTCTAGCTAGACACCAAACAACTTGAGGCCAGAATTATTTAATTAAAAGTAATGGCAAAAGCACAATTACTTTTGCACCAACCTAAAATATTCCTTCTCCAGTGTGTGAACTCCAGTGCATAGCATATTTAAAAGAGCTTGGTAGAAAATGAAATTCTCTTCCTTCTTGGCCTTTGTGATTCTCCTTGTTTCTGTTTTTCTAATATTTGCCCCACTCCCAACATCACCAGCTATAATGATAAGGTATCTTTGTTTTTCAGATATATGAGGAATGGTGGAGGTATTCTTCTGCGCCAAGAACTCAAGTAGGAAGAGCTGGCAGACGAGACAGAGAGAGGCATTCTAAGGCTGCAGGAGTTTGAAATATAATGGCTTCAAGGAGCAGACACAATTTTGAAATAAAATCTTGGGGTAACCACTCAGGAAAACAAAAATATATCCCAAAGTGTTAGGTTTATGGGGTATAAGAGTGGTCATCTGGACTGAACTCCTCCATCCTTATTATTATCGTAACACCAGCATTTACTGATGACTCACTATATGCAGGTACCATTCTTGTTTTAAAATTAACACATTAAATCCTTACAACAACCTTATATGATAACTATTACTATTTTCATTTTATAAATAATGAAACTGAAGCAATGAGAGACAAAGTAAATTCTATCCAGCCACACAGTTAGCAAACATCCCTCTCTGAATTCGGCATCTGCCTGAACCCTCCCCATCACAGAGAGCTCACTACCTCCCACTGCATCCCACCCCACCTCCCGCTCTGAGCCTCCCGCTCAAACTGCCATCCCCTGAACATTTCTGCCTTCTAAAGAAACATAGAGCAATTCTACTCTTTTCTCTTTAAGGTAGCCCTTTAAATATTTGAACATGTCCCCTAGGGTTTCTCTTCCCCAGTTTAAACAGCCCCAGGTCACTCAGCCATTTCCAATGTGCCACAGCTTGAGGCCCCTCACCATCCCAGCTCGGTGACTCACACATGCTGGGGACCAAAAAGGGTTGGCTTAGTGAAGTGGAACTGGTACTCCCCCTTCTAGACTTGAGCTGAGCCAGTGCATCCTACAACCCCAGGTCCATTCTTTCACTGTGTAAAGCAGGATCTGGAGGCATAATCTGCAGGAACAGCTGACTGGCCACATGCCCTACACTCATCCCAATTCCAACAAACAGACCAAAGGGTTGGCATGTTCACAGTTCTTCATTCTTCCTTGGGTGGAAAGTCTGTTTCTGTCCCTCCTCCCCCTTCTCCCCACACTCCCACTCCCAGAGGCAGTGCTAACAGCCCCTCAGCTCACCATGGAGTTCATGGCAAAGTGATTGTGCTGCGTCTGGAGGTCTAGGGCATACTGGTAGCTGACTCCGATCTCCGTGTGGCTCTGGAGGAATAACTCCTTGTTGTGGCTTATCCAGTCGAACATCTAGAGGGGACAAGAAGGCACAGCGTAATCAGAATGGTCATGGGTCAAATAGGGCAAAACTGTCAGAGCAAGTGGAAGGGAAAAAAGCTCTCCTCCTGGTGCTCAGTGAGAACCAGTTATGTTCTGAGTCTCAGAGTTGTCGTAGGGGTGGACCACAGCCTCATTTCTCAGAAGAGCCCTCACTTTTAGCTTAAGAACCCACCAGCACCCAGTGTGTTGCTTTACAGAGCCTAAGGGAAAAAGAGAAAATGAGTGAGGTAATTGGCATATGGGAGAGGAAGCTGTTTACCATTCCCAGCATGCTTGCTTTAGGGACAGGTGCTGAGGAGACAAGCTGGGAGGCTTAATGTATCTCCTACTGCACTAGTAGAAGGGAGAAATCCTTGAAGCAAGCAACAGGGACATCCTTGCCTGCCCCTGCCCCGCTTATACACTGCCCAGCCACACACAATGTTGAATTGATTCCGAACTGAATCAACTTTTCTCATAACTCTACAGCCTCAAAATTCCAGGTTTTCTGCTATGACCCACTGGGAACCAGAAGATGAGAGTTTTAAAGGTAATATAAGTACTGCCTGGTGCTGCCACAGTGGGCATTGAGCCATTTTACTCCTCCTAGCTCTGTACCCTGTTTTCACTTAGGTATCCAGCCCTCTTCCAGGCAGCCTGCATACTTCAGTGGGAGCTGACCAGAACCTGTGGCTCTTCAGGACACCAGACCTAAGCCAACCAGTGCATGACATTTCCCAACCAATGCGACTGTCTCGGATATAAGGATGTGATTCAATTTAGTACAATAAAACATGAGTGAAGTTTGCTAGAAACTTCTAGGAAAACAGAATCCTAGTTTTTTAGTTATGGCTTCTCTCCCTCTAGTATTGTATGTAGCTCTGACCTCAAATTGCTGGAGCCATTCTTCTGGCAGCCTGAGGGTGAAGCCAATGAGTAGAGAAGGGGTGGAGCCAAGACAACTGCAGGAAGTAGGCAGAGCCCTGGCTGAGCCTTGTCTGGTCTCCACTTTGTCTCTGGACTTCCTTGGACCTAAACCAAGAAATCTTCTTTATTATTCAAGCCAGTTTAAATTGGACTTTCTGTAATTTTCTGTCCAGAGCAGAAAATTCTACTTTTTTCGCTTTAAGGCAGGCTTTTAAATATTTGAAGGCAGCAAACACATGTCCCTTACAGTTTCTCTTCCCCAGAGGGATGTGAACTAGAAGGGAAGAGAAAATGCTTAGGAGGCTGCTACAGAAATCCTGATGAGGGCAAGGACCTGGAAACTCAACCATTTCCAATGTGCCACAGCTGGAGGCCCCTCATCATTCCAGCTCAGTGACTCACACATACTGGGGGCCAAAAAACATTGGCTAAGTGAGCGAAAGCCAGGAAAGGTGTGAAAAAATACATCTGGAAAAGAGAGCTGCACTACTTAAGCCTCACACTCCATTTGGGATGGACTAAAGGCTGTGGCCCAGTTGCAGAGTATAGCAGAAAGGAGCTGAGCACAGAAGCAGGCTAAGCAGCAGCCACGATTGCGCCAGCTTTCTGGAGCCAGAACTGCAGGCTTATCCAATTATGTCCCTTTAACAGAGAAGTGAATTGACTATTTCAATTACATTCAACCAATATTTATGGGACACTTGCCATGTGCCAGGCACTGCTGGAGGTCACATGAAGAAAAAATGACGAAAATATGGTTCTTGAGTATTGGTGGCTTAAAGGCTAATGTGGAAAGTGGACATGGACTCAGATACAGCTTTAGTACAATGTGGCACACAATGTGATTAAAATTACAGCTAAAAAAATCTACTGATAAGTTGAATATTGTCTGTTGAGGGAGCACAGAGGAGGGCACCTCACCTATCCTTGAGGGAGTGGGATGGGGAAGAGCAGAGAAAGCTTCCCAGAGGAGGTAACATCTGAAGTGAGCCTTGATTCAGGTAGTAATCAGCTAGGTGAAGGTCAGTGGGATGCATGCTCAGACAAAGAGGCAGAACTGGGGGAAGCCCACTGTGTCAAGGACAATGAAGGCTCCTCAGCTATGTTTCTGGAGCCTGGTATCAAGGAGGTAGGTGGGACAGGCTGACCACAAAGAGCCCTGCACACAGGCTTCAGGAAACCTGCACCACACATTGTTGGCTGCCAGGTGCTGGTGGAAGGTTTTAAGCTGAGTAGAGAAGTGTGAAGTGAGCTTTGACGGCAGCGAGGGATGTGGACTGGAAAGGAAGGGGAAATGGTTAGAAGGCTGCTACAGAAATCCTGATAAGGGTGCAGACCTGGAATCTTGGATTAGGAGAGTGGCAGTAGAGTCTGAGAAATGGGCAGATTTGAGAGCTAGTCAGAGCATTATTGAGGACTTGGTTGTTTAGAGAGGAAAAGGTGGGGAAGAGGCAGAACAGACAGGTTTCTGGCCATGACAAGAGGAAGATAAAAAGCTTGGGTGGGAAATACTATGTTCCGTTTTAGATGTGCTGAGTTTGGAAGGCCTATGAGAGTTTCAAGGGAAGGTACCCAGTAGGCAGTTAGATTTGTGTCTGAAGGTCAGGAGAGAGACATCAGGGCTGTAACAACTCACACCTAAATATAAAAACATCACCTTCCACAAGCAAACGCGCATGATTTGGAGATTATTGTCCCTTTTGAATTACACTTCCATCAACCTACACCAACAGTAAAGAAAGGAGGAAAGGACCATTCTTTACTTCTGAGTGCCAGAGGATTTATTTCAGGCCGGGGCTCCTGTAGAGGCTGGGTCGATATTTGTGCTGTGTGCACTATCCTGGGTCCTCCAGCCTCCGCCACCCTCACATTACAGGCATTTGGTCATGGCTTTTTTTTTTTCTTCTTTAATTATTATTAAGGACAAGAAGGAACAGAAGGCCAGTGCCCCAGGAGTTTAGAGGACTCTCATTCTGTAACTTTTATCTTTAAAATTCTGCCTCCCAGCCCCATTTTAAAATAATTTCTCATTTCTTTTCTTTATTGACAAAAGAATCAATAAGGCTAATGAAAGTCTGAAATGCCTGAAGTCCTTGGAACTTGTGATGAAAAGCACTCTCTCCATACACTTTCTTGGATATCTCAGTGGCCGATAAGTGACCTTTCCTGTATTTTATGTTAAAATGATGATTTAGATATGCAAATAAGCAGCTGAGTTATGTGCTGGCACCAGAATGATTAGATTGCTCAGCACCAGATCACAGGGTAGGGAAAGCTGAGCATGGGCCAATTAGGGTGGAAAGGAATACAAAAATGAGTTAAAGACAGGTGAGAGATGAGGGTGCTGACAGAAATGTGCACTTTGCTGAATCAGCTTCTTACAGAATGAGGTCTGCACCCATGCCATCCCAACTGATTTTGCCTCCTACGTTTGGAGCATACAAGCTTCTCGCTGGGGTCTGGGACATTCTGGAAAAGTTTAGCTTTCACTGGAGGTGGTGCTCCAAAGAGGTGACACACATCTTAGTAAAGAGAAAAAGACCCGCTCTGGGAACTAGATGGTCTCATGTGATGTCAGAAACCAGGGTTTCCTAAGAGACAATCACAAGTATTCTCTGGGCTTAAACTTTTTACCTACTTACATATAATCCTCACCCTTGCAAGCCTGACTGTCTGTAAGGGTCATAGTCATCTCTGTCGCATTCAGTGGAACTGGCGGCAGAGGCAGAATGTGTGTGTGCATCCATGCATGTGTGTGCATGTATATATATAGTCAAGTGAGATGAGGACTAGGCTAGTTCCAGGCCCAGCTCTGTCACTAACTCCACATGAGACTGTGGAAAAGTAATTTCATTTCTGTCTTCTCCTCATTTGCAAGAGATTGTGGTTTGCAGAATGGAGGTAAGCATCCTGGTTTATAATAGGCTCAATTTGGAAACTTACAGACTTCATTTTTTCACCACCCAAAATAAAAAATAGTTTCGTTGATTCTCCTGGATCAAAAGATACACTCATTGCTACCGCTTAAATTTTTATCTTTTTGAGTAAAATAATGTCAGTGAGAAAAATGACATTGTTTTATAGTCATAGAAGGGAAGCTTCTGGGCATGGTAGCACATGCCTGTAATCCCAGCTACTCAGGAGGCTAAGACAGGAGAATTGCTTGAATCCAGAAGGTGGAGGTTGCAACGAGCTAAGATCGTGTCACCGAACTCCAACCCAGGCAACAGTGCAAGACTCCATCTCATAAAATAAAATAAAAAGAAAGGAAGCTTCTTAGTCTCAACCCCGACAATGATGCTTTAGAGTTCAAAATGTCCATTCACCCTTCAACATTACATTGCATCCATAAAACAATCCCACAGGGTACAATCATCAGACCCACTTCACAGGCAGGAAAACAGGTTCAGGGATGTAAAGTCCAAGGTGTAGATTTAATTTATTCTACCCAAGACCACATTCACTGAGTGCCTACTGAGCCAAGCTTTGGGGACACTGCCTGCCTACTGTTCATATGGCTGTAAGACTTTCTCTGCCTGGGCTCCACAGGGCAGTTATCCCTAAAAGGTAGCTGCAAAGGCACTGTGGTACTCCGCTGGTGTAAGGTGCTATTCCTCAATGGGAACATTCCCCTGCCAATACCTAGCCTGCTTCTCCTCCTCCACCTCCTCCTTTTTCTCCCCTTCCTCCACTGCCTGCCCCACCATGATGGAGTGCCAGGTGTCTGGGGACAATTGATTCAAATAGCTCTAGTTCTCTCAATAAATAATCACTGAATGAATAAATGAATACTATGAGTTGGTCATAGGTTCCTCCTTTGCTTATCTCCAGATAAGTGGACTCTTTCTAAGCTCCCTTCCAGCTAGGACATTTAAACTAAAAATATCTCCAAAGTGCCTTCAAACTTTTTGATATGTCTTTGTTTTTTGAGAAGCTACGAATGGTGGGTTCAACAAAATGTAATATAACAAAAAATTCTACAAAGAGGAAAGTTCATGTCTAAATAATAATATTGTATCTCTTTGAAATCAGATTAGTTTTGTCTCATTAAGAAGATAGATGTT